CCATACGTCTGCTTTTTTCCGGTGGGGGGTGCTCCTGGCTTTCAAAGGGCGCTGAAATGGTGGTCTGCCCTGTGTGAGGATGAACACGTAGGCCCACATTGCCAACCACGCTCAGCCCCTCACCTGCGCGGATCTTCACGCGGTACTTCACTTTGAAGCCTAGACGGCTATCACGGATAAAGTGGGCAACCTGCCCACTTGTGGGTATAACAGCTGGCGAAAACCATGCGTTTACATGATCAGCAGCAGCTTCTCCCTAGCCCAGCGCAGAGACGCGCTTGGATGCTCGTTCACGTGCGGTGGAAGTGGAGCTCTGGAGGCAGGGAGTGGAGGATGGAAAGCAGGCTCGCCAAGCAGCGCTCTGCCTGAACAAGTAGCCCAGCTCCTTGGGCCCTGCTGGCAGTCTCGCCCAGTGCTGCCTTTCACAGTGGCAGAGAACAGATGCGAAGAGAAAGTATCTTCAGGGCCTGGCTCCTTTCCGCTGCCCCTCGTCCCTTCCCAGCGCTGAGGCCTGGGAAGACCTAATTCAGAGGTCGCAGCCCTTCCATTGTGTTAATTCACATTGGACATGCCCTGCACGACAGTCTCATCCTCTGACCCCGGTTGCATTGCCAGTCCCTGCAGCGTCTTGTGGCAGAGACTCCGCAAGCTGATGTGGAAGCAGTGTGAAAAAACCTCCTTTGCGTTACTCAGCCTGCTCCCCAATACATTCATCAAAAGCCCCTTAGGACCTGGTAGATTAAAATCCAGTCGCTTCTAATCACTGAGCCTAAAGGGTTCAAAGTACCTTGGTATCAGTTGCTTTTCCAGCACCAGGACAGGCAAGTCGGGTAAAACCTGGGGCGGGAGGGGTGATTTCTCAGCAAGGAAATAATGGAGGTTACAACATGACTCGCCCAAGGTCAAGCTGAAAATCATCGGCACCAGCTGGAGGCTCTGCGCCTGGGCTGCACTGTCCCACCCAGTGGGATTGTGGACACGTTCCCAAAATCATCCCAGGCACCGAGCTAGGTCTGCTACAGGCGGGAGCCTTCTGAGCACGTAGACTCGCACCTGTCTCTCCCGGGTAGTTCCGTGGTTCCAGGACGAGTGACGGCAGGATCCGTGCAGGAGGAAGCAGGTCTGTTATGGAGCTGATCTCATTCGCAGTGGCTGGGGTCAGGAACTCCTCCAGTGGCTTGGAAGGCCGCAGAACACCTTCGTCTGGATTCAGACCACAGCACACATCACAGCTAGGTTTTCCCCACCACCTGCTCATTTAATTTATCCAAGCAGCACTGGCCCTAAGCTTCCTCTGGCGTGCAGAAAGGACCCTTTCCTGTACTGACTTGCCTGGCTTAGCTCAGCGTACCGTGTTTCCTTGCAGACAGCATGCCCTGAAATAAGATGCACAACTTGTTTTGGGTCTTTCCTGAGTAGCTGCAGAAAGGGAGCTGAGCCTGCTCCTTGTTCGGCTCTCCTGCAGGCCTTGCCTTTCCTTCCCTTACCGTATTTCTTCACGTGTGAAGGGCGTTCTAGTTGCAGCAGTTTTTGAGGGGAAGGTGTATGCAAGGCAATGCAGTCAATAGCAGCGCAGTCCTTGCCCTCCAAGATGCTAGTGATGGTCATCAATAAGGCTGATTTCCTTACGCTGTGCAGTGGTGCCAGGCAGCGCAGACGGGCTCGAGAGCCCTGTCAGAATTACCGGCATTGAGGCATGGTCCCATTTCTCTCCAGTCGTGGTTGCCCCCGGCCTCTTTGTAAGGCCACAAGCCCCAGTGACCCATTGGAAGGGGGAAGTGCTTGAGCCCCGTAGAGCAGCCCCGGTGACCCTCCCCAAGGCCCCGCACCAAGCTGACTGGGAAGCAGCGGATCCTGTTTTGACGCGTGGCTGCTGCTTTGGAGGAAGATGACTGAGAGGCTGAGGGAAATGGGCTGCTTCAGTCTGGAGAAGAGAAGACCGAGGGGGATTGAATAGCAGCCTTCACCTCCCTGCCGGGGGGCTGCAAAGAGGACGGAGGGGGGCTGGTCTCAGTGCGGGCAGGTGACAGGACAAGGAGCAATGGGCTCAGGCTGCAGCCAGGGAAGTTGAGGTTGGATATTAGGAAAAACTTTCTCACTAGGAGGCCAGTAAAGACTGGAACAGGCTCCCCAGAGAGGTGGGGGAACCTGCATCCTTGGGGATTTTGAAGCGCGTGGCTGGATGATGTAGGTGGAGCTGGTCCTGCTTGGAGCAGGGGTTGGATAGACGACTCCTGAGGTCCCTTCACCCTCGTTGTCCTTGATCCTAGGATGGAAGAGGTCTTTCTGAGGGCAATTCAAGCACAAATCCCTCCTGAGCCCTGTTTGGTGTTGGTCAGCCTGCACCCTGGCACTGTCCGGTCCCCCCCAGGGCCTGTCTTACCAGGGAGACCGCGCAGTTCAGGCTGGTTTTAACAGAGTTGAACCAGTGCAAAGGACTAAGCGTGCATCACGGCTGCAGTGGCTTAAACTGGGCCTTTCACTGTCAGGAAGAAGCCACTCGAAGCCTCGTGCATCGATTTATCCGGTGAGCTTTGTCCCCTCAGTTAAACCTGGGGTGCCTTTCTCATGAGAGCCGCCCCATACGGTCCCCTGCTCGAACTGCAGGCGGCTCCTGGGAACTGCAGGCAGCACTGGCAGTGAGGACCCTGTTTATCCTGCGTTTGGTCCCAAAGATTTGTGCCCCTATTAGCTCCTTGGAGCAGGTGGTTCCCTCGAGCACCTGCCTCATCAACCCTCCAAATCACTCTTGAAGTCCTTGAATTCATCCAGCGCAGGGTGGCAAAGGCTAGCAGCAAGGCAGCAGCCCTGGACTTCAGGAGGGCGGATTTCACTGAGCTAAAGAGACTAGTCGGGGAGGCACTGAGGTCCTGGAGGGGAGGGAAGTCCGACACGAGTGATCGTTCCTGAAGGAGACTATCCTCCAAGTCCAAAGGTAATCCCAACACAGATCAACGTGGGCAAGAGTGCTCAAAAGCCCCCATGGCTCACCAAAAGCGTCCGGGAACATCTCAAAGCTAAGAAGGAGGCGTACACCCGATGGAAGAGAGGGGCCATTGCCAGGGAGGACTACACCTCGGGTGCTCGGGGCTGCAGGGGGGCGGTCAGGAAGGCCAAGGTGGAGATGGGACTGGGACTAGTGACACGGATCAAAGACAACAAGAAGTCCTTTTTTAAATACATAGAGGGTAAAAAGAAGGTACTGGGTAACGTGGGGCCTCTGCAGGGCATGCTAGGAAATCTGGTGGTCTC